CCGGCCATGCATAGGCTCCCGCGCCGCTCCCCCTGCCCGGCCCTCCACCTGGGCCTGAAGTATTTATAGCGGAGCAGCGAGCTGACGGCTGGCAAATATTTGGTAGCCGTATTGTAATAGTAGACTCGGTAAACAGAGCTGGGGTTTGCTTTAGCACCCAGCAACGGGAGAGCGGCGCGGGGAGGGACGCGGGGACGGAAGGCAGGGCTCACCTTAATGGTTCACTCGCCAGGGGATTTTCAAGTGTTGTCCCTGTAAATTCACCTATTAAATCGGCAGCCCCAGCTGCCAAACTGCCCGCACACTTGTGCCGAGGGCTCTTATCTCCCTGCTGATTGGAGGTGAAATCAAGCTTTGTCAAATAGGCGTAAAATTAAATTTCATGCTATTTTGACTCCTGGAGTAGGGATCTTCTGAAGAACACACTGCGTATCGAGCCATGCCTCTGCAAACAGGGGCTGCCACTGCAGTGGGCAAAGCCTTTCCTGGGGTACCCCAGGTGCTGCAGCACCTTTGTGCAGGTTCAGAGCACTCATCTCCAGCCCTGTGCCCCTTTGAGATGGATGTTGGGCTCCCTGACCAGCCCTGAGAGGGGTTTTGGAACCTGTGGATGCAAAGGTGGATATGCCATGTGGAGAGTGTCTGGTCCAGCCCCATGGCAGGGACAGAGCTGGGTGACAGCATTTTCACCCTGTGCTGTGGCCCGTGGCTCCCCTGTGGGGACAGGGACAATGACACTCAGCTCAGGTCACAGACAGGCTGTGCCACAGGTGCCATTTCTGCCCTGGCAGCAGGATGTGCCAGCAGGGACATCTGGGGCAGCACAGAACAGGGCCAGGGGGCACAGATGGCTGGGGATGCACGGTGACCAGGACACAAGATGGCCAGAGGACAGGGGACAGCCTGCCCCTGACTGCTGAAGGGATGGCAGGGGCCTGACACAGCACCTGACCCTGTCACAGGTGTTGGGGACACTCAGGGAGTGGGACACCGGCCACTGGGCTTGGGGACAGCCACAGCCCTGCCCCGGAGCTGCCCTGCTCTCCTGTTTTGGGGGTGACCACAGCTCCCTCGGAGCCCTCCCTGCTCTGAGCACCGTGTTCTGAGGTGCCTGCAGGGCTGACAGGGGTCCCCAGCTCCTGGCAGGGNGTGTTCAAGCTCTTCCGAGCGCTGGGCCTGCGGCACTTGGTGGTTGTAGACAATCGCAACGAGGTGAGTCCCTGCTCGCTGTGTGCTGGCAGCCTGGGCTCCTCCAGGGCACAGGGACACGCTGTCCCCAGGCTCTGTGTGAGCCTGTGAGCTCCCTGTCCACATCAGGCTGATCCTGTCCCTCTTGTGGCAGGTGGTGGGAATGGTGACCCGCAAGGACCTCGCCAGGTACCGGCTGGGGAAGGAGGGCCTGGAGGAGCTGTCTCTGGCACAGACATGAGGCAGTGTGGCCCAGCAGAGATGTGCCCCGGCCCCTGGGAGCTGGGGACCCCCTTTTGCAGGAGGTGGGGAGAGGACTGGGCCAGTCCCCGCAGGTGTCACAGTGCCTGGAGCACTGCCATGGCCGTGCTGCCCCGGCCCTCCTGCCTGCTGCTGCCTTCCCACGTCTACTGCCTCCTCTTGTCACCCCTTCCTCTGCTTCCCTGAGGGATCAAAATTCACCCTTGGCTCTATTAGCTCCTGGAATAGGCTCTCCTTGATGGTTGGGTGAAGGCTGGAGTGTTCCATGGGGAGCAGGGCTGCCCTACTGAGCTGGGCACGGTTCTCTGACACGACACGTGGTCTCTGTTGCCTCATCCACCCAGTGTGGGCTGTCTGGGACTTAGCCCTGCCCAAGCTTTGGCTGCAGGGCTTGTGAGAGGAGCAGAGGGGACACCATGGGGCTCTTTCCTGCTCCCAGGCCCCATTCCCTGCTGTCCTGTAGTCCTGCTTGCTGGGTTGGGCTGAGCTCTGGGGCTGCCTCCCTACTCCTTGGCACTGAGGAGGGGGACGTGCCCTACTTGGCTGTGCAATAAAAGGGCTCCCCTGGTTCTGCAGCTGCTGCCTCTGGCTCTTTCTTGGCTCCCTCAGCCACTCTGACCCCAACCCATGTGTGGGGAGACACCCCTGGGATTTGGGGCAGGGATGGGGAGGGGAGAGCTGCCTGCACTGGGGAGATGTTGGTCCTGCAACCTGTGCCCCTCTGCCACTCCTGCAGTCCTCCCACCACTGATGCTCCCACACTGGGATCCAGAGTCACTCCTGGGGCATGTTCTGGCCCCTTCCAGCCCCCTGGGCCCTTCTAGGCACCCTGAACCCCCACCACCAGTCCTGGATTTGGCTGGGGGTGGGAGCAAAGCCAGCCCTGGCACCTCACTTTTCCTGTCTTCCCCCATCCTTGCTCCTCCCCTTAGCATTGCCCTGCCCCCTGCCCTGGGACTGCCCCTTCCTCACCTGGTGCCTGGAGAGGCTTTTGACTGCAGGATCTGTGCTGAAATAAAGTCTGTTTGTACTTTTATTGTGCTGCTGCCTGTCTCTTGCTTCTCTTCTTCCCTTGAGCTGAACTGAACCCTGAACCTGCTGCTGGGAGGGTACAGGCTTGGGGGTGGCTGCATCCTGGGCTCAAGGCAGGGCCTGGCTGCCCCTTCCCGGTTTATTTTCCCTTTCAACACCAACACAAAGCAGAGGATGCCTCAGCTGGGCCCTGGTAACAACCAGGCTCTGGGGAAGATGAGCTGGCCCTGCTCTGGGGCAGGGGAGCTGTAGGGCACAGTGGGTCCCCCAGGGCAGTGCTGGGTCCCCCTGTGTGCTGACAGCCGGGTGCTTTATGAGGCCCCACTCGCCCTTTGCCCCGGCGCGGCCGAGA